GCGCGTGGCTCTGTTGGACTCTCTCGGCTCCTCCCCTACAGAGGAGGCTTCCATCAGCTTCGCATGGAAGCCAGCCCTGTAGCCCCCTGCTACCAAAACTTTCTCATGCAAACTTAATAAACTGACACTCATTTCCACAGCAGAATTGGTTGTTGGTGGATTTAAAACAGAGTTATCTTATTTCGGACACTTACATTTTAGGAACTGCAAAATACTGTCCTCATGAACTCCTGTTGACAGGTTTTCTGTATGAAATTTTGCTGAAAATAGAGAAAAGAAGCTTATTTGTTAAGTGGAAAGGAATGTTTGTAGTGTCCAGAATTAAAAAACTGGTCGTTGAACTTACTAGCCTTTAATTTGTTGGACTGGTACATCATGGCATGTCATTTACTTAGTTCAGTGATAACTTGATTTCCACTAAGGTTAGACCCAAAATATGTAAGATCAAAGCCCAAAAGTACTTGAAATTTTCAGCTAAGTTCCTTGGGAACACAGAGAATATAGGGACATCGTTGTTTTGAGTTAAGGTAGGACAAATTAGTGAGACAGAATCACAATAATATGTGACACTAAGTAACCAAAAGGGAAGTTGGGGAATGAATGTTTGTCCTTTAGCAGTGTAGACCAGGACCGATGAAGAACTCGGTGGTGCACAGGTGTGTCTCATGGTCATGGGCACGTACCCACTCAACTTTACTGTAAGACAAATACTGAACCTGTTGCTCTTCCTTCTCATCGCTTGTAGAAGGCTCTTGGTTGTTTTAGTATAAAGCATTGTAGCTCATGGCCTACATTACGGGACCTCTGTTGTGCCTTCAGCCCACCCTGATCCGCCTGAAGAACCAGAAGTTTTAAGTAAGAACAGTCACTCTGTAACTCTGTCTTGGTACAAGCCGTTGAGCGATGGCGGTTGTGACATCCTGGGCTACAACGTGGAGAGGAAAATCCCAGGTGTTGGCTGGCAGTCGTGCAGCAAGAGCATTATTCAACACACAGAGTTTATGGTGGATGATCTCATGCCAGGGGAACCCTACAGATTCCGCGTCTCAGCTATAAACAAAGTAGGGGCCAGTGAGCCGGTGCACTTCCCTCAGACGGTGCGGCTAGGTGAGAACGAGAGATGCCCCCGTGGAGGACTGCAAGCTGCTGTAGACCTTGTGTTTTCGCATGGCATGCCTGCTTCACCCATTCCAGGCATCTCCTGGAAGAGTTCACTCTGCATCGTCTTTCAGTGCTTTGCTGCCAACACAATAGAGGAGAAAGAGCTTGGAAAAATTATTCTGGGCTGCCGTGAACAAAACCTGCTGCGTTGTTAGTACTCAGCACTTATTTCCTGCAGCCTGCATCAAGCTGTCTTGCAGCCTGCACTGCATCCATGTGTTGTCCGGTCACCTTGAGTTTCTTTTCTGGTGGAGTTAGGATGGAATGAGCCAAAAGGGGCATGTTGGAATGCATTCAGGGTAACAAAGACCCTGGTACCAATGCAGCGCGTGGGCAGTGTTGTCTTCTTCACCCATCTTTCTCTTTCTTTATATTATTTATGTATCTTTTTCAATAACAACCCAAAAAAGAAATGCTGGAGGACACGGTTCCTTTACTGTCTGTTGACGAAACTTTGGAAGCTACAGTGGGATGGAGAGCCACTCCCTCAATCTTTCTTTTCTTGCAACTCTTCCCGTGATAGCCAGTGCCCAACAAATCCCTCGCAGTGAGAATAATAATTAAAAAAATCCTCTTTTGTTTAAGGCTCAGACATGTGATGACGTTTTGGCAACATAACTGCCAGTGCCGGACCCTGATAACTCTGCACATGCTGATTTTGTCTACAGCAAACTCAAAGCACTCTGGGCAACAGTCCCCTCATGCTCAGGAGCATGCTGCTTTTGGGAACTCGGCGGTGTGCTTTACATCCCAGTCAGCATCTCCATGTTTAATGCATTTGTCTTGATTTGGAGTATCACTGTCATGCAAACAGCATGCTGTTGGCAGGGCTCCTTCCCGAGTAAAGAAGATACAGAGAATTTTGAAATTGTTTGGGGTTTGAGAATTTTTACTGTTTCTAAACTAGCATAAATACATATTCTTTTTTTTTTACTTTCAAGTCTGGGATGAATGCCACTTTTAATCTTCTTTTTTTTGTCCTTTTTACTGTTTCTTGTCTCATTTCAGAGGTGGTTCGTTTCTAAGCATTAAGATCTAGACTCTGTAAGACTGTTTGAACGCTGGTGATGGGTAAATGAAGATGAACAAAGAGTGTGAAAAACGCAACCACTTTTGCATGTGTATATATAAATTGAGCTGGTTTAACTGCTGGGAGAGCTTGTAAAGTTATTTTGATATTATCTTTGGAAGCGTAAACTTTGGGTGCTGCCAATAATTTTTTTTTTCTTCAGTTGTCTACAACAGCTAAAGAATCTATAAATGAAGGATGAGATGGTTGGATATTTTACAGAGTGATCTTGAGTGCCTTAAAGCCAGATTATGATGTTCTTTGTGTTAATTCCCTTTTTTGTAATTACAGAGCCTGCAGTTACAGTCACCCATCCTTTGGTGGGAGGATCAGTCTCAGAAGGTGAAGTGGCTCGCTTGGAGTGCAAACTGTCAAGTGAAACGGAAGAGACAGTGACATGGTTCAAAGGAAAAGAAAAAATACAAGCTGGAGGGAGATACGAGATCCTCTCTGATGGGAAAAAGCAGATACTCATCATTCACGCATTTAAACCCGAAGATCAGGACACATATACCTGCATGGTTTCTCCAGAAGTCAAATCTGTTGCCAGTTTGTGTCTTGAAGGTACAGAGGGTGCATTCCTGTGATGTTCTCAGTTCTGTTTACGGACACCCAGGGGTGTCTTCACAGCCTGGGCTGGAATGCTTTTTATTTTACAAACTGTGTTAACGATCCACAAAGAATTGTTGTCTTCCTTAGATAAGAATTTCCCGAGTCAGCTATTTAAGGTGTGATACAGTTGTGTCTATGTAGGTTTCTGATACCTTTTGAGATGCTATAGGGTATTCTGCCCAGCCTTCAGCTGCCACTTCAGAAAGTGGGGGCTCTTTCATATGTTCCACATGGTACCTGCCAGCCCCAGTCTTAGACATCCCAAACGGCTTTGGGTCATAGTGCTGAGGAAGCCAATTTGTGCCCCTGTGGTGGGATTCAGTGGCCCACAGACAGGCAACTACTGCCAATGAGGCCCTTCAGGATATCACCCCCGGCCTCCATCTCCTTCTCCCAGGGCACTCTTAGGTCCTGTGTTTCATCTGAGAGCCACGTGTGGATGCCCAGCAAGCCTGGAGCATCGCAAGTGGCCCTGGGCATGTCGGTGTGTCCCAGAGGGTAAGTCACAACTTAGACGGAAGTATCTACAGGTACATACCTCCAAATGAGGTGGGAGTCTTAGCTCCTATTACAATCAGTGGAGATCTGTTCAAGCTAGTCAGTGAAATCCTGTCCAGCTGTAAAAGAGGAGGAAAAGAAAGAAAAAAAAGTTGTTTGGCCATGTTTTATGCACATGCATAGAATTACAGGATAGCGGAGGTTGGGAATGACTTCTGGAGATAGTGTAGTCCACTCCCTGCTCAAAGCAGGGTCATGTAGAGTAGGTTGCCCAGGACCATCTCCAGTTATATTATTTTCACATTTTGTTCTCAACAGAATGGATAGTTAAATGCCACTGATACCCTTCTGCCCAGGCTTTAGAATAACGTTTCCTTGTGCTTTCTCAGAGCTTATTTTGTTTTATCTTATCAATTCAATTCTCCTCAGTTCCCACTGTGACAATGCTAAAGGAGATCGCCCGGGGAGCAGCACCTGCAAGCCAACCAGAAGAGCTGGTGGATGGCCATGTCCAGCCCAGCTTGCCCCCTGAGGCTGCTCAGGAGGGCGACCTTCACCTTCTATGGGAAGCTCTGGCCAAGAAACGTCGGATGAGCCGGGAGCCCACCTTGGATTCCATCAGCGAGGTGCCGGAAGAGGACGAGAAGCTTCAGAAGTTGAGGAAGGAGGAGGCAGAGATGTCTCACTATTACTCGGAGGAGTACTCCACGTGTGATGAGCTGGCTAGGACAGGAGAAGCAGATTTCTCTTTCACAAGCTCAGATGATGAGTCTAGAGCTGGGACTCCTTCACTGGTGAACTACCTCAAGAAAGCTGGGAAAACAAGTGTCAGTGTTACTAGCAAAGTTCAGTCCGTCTCCAGAGGCAAATTGTGGAAACAGTGGGAGAAATCCAGTGTGGAGACTGTTGTGGCTGGCCCCCCTGCATTACCAGATTTAGATGATCCTTCCATGAACAAGGCGGCTGTGAAGATCCAGGCTGCTTTCAAAGGTTACAAAGTCAGGAAAGAGATCAAGCAACAAGAGTGCCCTGTGTTTACTGAGACCTTCAAAGATTTCTCTGGCGAGCCTGGAAGCACTCTCCACCTCGAGTGTGTGGCCCACAGCAAAACTGACATGAAAGTCCGTTGGCTGAAAGACGGGGAGGAGCTTTCAGACGGTCGCTACTATCACATAGACACTTACAGTGATGGGACCTGCTCTTTGATTATCACCGGCCTGGACAGGAAGGATGCGGGTAAATACACCTGTGAGGCATCCAATAAATTTGGGAAGGTTTCACACAGTGCTAAGGTGGTTATCGGCACTCAGGAACCCCAAGTTCCTCGTAAGGAGAAGCAGGTTAAACAAAGCACTGACAGTGAGACAGAGAGCTCGTCTGGCAGTGAGCTGGATGATGCTTTCCGTAAAGCAGGAAGGAGACTCCATAGACTCTTCAGGGCCAAGATCTCAACAGAGATATCTGATGTGGAGGAAGAGCTCTTTGTCAGCGCAGATGAAGGGGACGTAGAGGTGGTCGACCATCAGACGTATCGTGAGGATGACCAGTACATCTACATCAAGTTTGAAATCCTGTCTGAGGCAAGAACTGCCGCCACTCGATTCAGGGAGATGTTTGGTGCTCTGGGAATTCCTGTGGAGATTGACATTTTGGAACAAGGCCCTAGAAAAATCGAATTGCGTATTGGGAAAGCAACACCACCCACCCTTGGGAAGTTTGCACCGCCAGTAGTGAGACCTCCACCGCCTTTGCTGACTTCTGATACAGGTAGGTGAAGAAAACCTGATTATTCTTTGGAAAAGACAGCTGGAAAAGGTCAGAATATTACCTCTTCACTCACAGTAACTTCCAAAAAGCCTTTTTTTTCTTTGTTTTTGGTTTTGTTTTTGTTTGTTTGTTACAGATATTGTTCTGGAAACTTTGCACTTCTGGAAAAAATTATGAATTTTGTATTGTTTTTCATTTTGAGGGAGACAAAGGAGGTTAGAGATGAAGGAAGGGGCTTCAAAGCACTGACTTATCTACAAAACTGCTTTTCACAGTATAAATGTCTCCTACTACAATAATATGGCCATAAATGCTGTAGTTACTATACTTAAATAAATGAAACCATTTTCAGAACAGCCCTGAGGGACACAAGACATTTTGGCAAGGAGGGGAACAGAGGCAATATGTAGTTTGCAGCTGTGGTACCGCTATGCTTATGGTGTTATGGAATAACTTCCTAGGGCTTGTCAGGGAATTTCTTCCTGACTGTTTTCATAGAGAAAAAATAACAGTCTACAATTAAAAAACCTAGAAACCAGAAGTGTTCAGGCACTGGGTAGCAGCGCTCTTAAAATACATCTTTTAACACAACCAAGTTTTTCCTTTCTTCTCTCCTAACTACCCTGACTTTAGCTCCCATGTTCATGACTGAGCTCCAAAACCAAGAGGTGCAGGACGGATACCCAGTCAGCTTTGACTGCATTGTCGTTGGCAAACCGCTGCCCACGGTTCGCTGGTTCAAGGATGGGAAAGCTATTGAAGAAAATGATCATTATATGATCAACGAGGACCAGGAAGGGTGCCACCAGCTGATCATCACAGCTGTGGTCCCCACTGACATGGGTGTTTACCGCTGCCTCGCTGAAAACAACATGGGAGTTGCTTCAACCAAGGCCGAGCTTCGAGTAGACTGTAAGTCTCAAAATCACTGTAGAAAAACCAAGGGAAGGGTCCTGCTGAGAGGTGGATAATTTTATTTTTCAATAAAAACGCCGTTTACTTTAAAAAAATGTATGTGTTGCCCACAAAATGTTTCCCTTGCAAACCTCGGATTCAGTTGGGGTTTGCCAACTCCAGGCTTTTCAGATAAACAGAGGTGTTTCCCATAATCCAGGGACATGAGGGATCTTGCTGCAGCAGCAGTAGGAAATCGACCTGCCAGAGACTCAGATTAATAGGGAAACTATAATTATAGTAAGAAATATAGTTTCGAAGCTCAGATTATAGAAAACACTTCCTTTCCCATTTAACAGTGACCAGCACCGACTATGAGACAGCAGCAGACGCAACAGAGACGTCTTCTTACTACAGTGCCAAAGAGTATGTTTCAAGGTAAAATATGGAGCTCCAGCTCTTTCTAACTTCTGACTTGATAAGATCAGTATGATTACTTATGTCAAGCCTGTTTTGGCTGTATCTAGCAGGGCCAGTTCCGTAAAGGAAGAGCCAGACCAGCCGAGATGCAATAACTGCAACGGCTGCGCAGACTTGCTCTGGCTGCCTTCAGGCTACCCTGGCTATTTCTTCCCAGCATCACTCCATTATTTTAATGTCATATGGTGCTGAATCTGTTGGCATGATGACAAAACCCACACACCAAATTAACCTAAAAGAGGTGATTTTGATTCTTACCTCTTTTTTAGCTTGCTCACTTTCTTCTTTCTAATTCTAATTGCTTCTTAGCCGAGAACAGGAGGAATCTACCACTGAGGAGGAGCAGTTGCCCCAGATCTTCGATGAGCTTCATGATATTCATGTGGCATCTGGAGCATCACTGGCTAAATTTCACCTGAAGGTGAAAGGTGAGGAGACCCCACAGCGCTGTCAGTTGTTCCGGGTTTGCTAACAGGTGGAAGTGCTGGACAAGGTTTTTCCATGTCCTGCTCTGCAGCTCTGACCCCCGTCCGTGCATCTTGCACCACGTTGGCACAGACCAGCCAGAAGGATGTGTTTGTGGTGATGAACACTGACTTTTGCAGCAGACTGGGGCAGCTTAAGTGTCTCATTCTGTGTCCTTGTCTCCAGGCATAATTACAGACATACACTCCTCAAAACTGAGTCCTGCAATACTCTGAGCACATTAGTTATGGATGAGCAACAAGGAATAAAAAGATAGTGAGGGTGTCCTTACTCTCTTTAATTAATGAACCAGTCCTGGACTTGCCTCACTGGATGAGGGGGGTTGCTGCTACAACCTAAGAACTGCTAAAACATCCTGTCTGTGGTAGGGAGAGGTGGGGATTCTCTTGTTTCCTCTGCCTATAAAAATGAAAACTGTTTTGTCTTCAACTTTTCTCTTTGTGTACGCTGCAAGTCAGACCTAAGTGTTACCTATCCAACCTGGAAGGCATTTGAACAGGCAGCCAATAAGGGAAGGGCCAGAAACTGAAGAGAAAGGAAAGAACTTTAACAGATAAATACAATTTCATGAATTTGCAACCATTCCTAATTGGGTAAAACCTTGAAACAGCAGCCCTGGGCTAGGCTGAGGATTCCTTGGCTCCTGCTCAGAAGGATCTGCTCGGAGATGTTCCCCAATCCGTGTCGCCAATGCATTCTGTTCTCCATGTCTGTAACTGTTCCTCGCAGGGTACCCGCAGCCTCGTCTCTATTGGTTCAAAAACGGACAGCCATTAAAGGCCTCGGATCGCATCCTGAAGACTGATAAACAGGAATTCCACTCGCTGGAAATTCGTGATGTCACTAAGGCAGATGCTGGCCAGTACTCAACATTTGTCATCAACTCTGCGGGTTCTGCATATTCATCAGCCAGGCTGGTAGTCAGAGGTTGGTACTGGGCTACTTTGGCACCTGATTTTCTTTATTACAGTGGCCTTTTCCACTTTATATAGTTGTTTTTCTTAAGAAAGCCTACCAAGATTAGTGGAGTGAAGTGGGGGGAAGCCTGTAGGCAAAAGGTGACATGCTATAATCTTGGTTTACCTAAATTTACAGTGTGTCCCAAAGATGAGACACGTCACTTCTCTAGGGTCTGGATAACCATACGTTCCTGCCCAACCTCTTTAACCTTAATGGTTCATTTTATTAAAACTGTGGCATTCTGATAAACCATGCTAACATTTCAGCATACTATCTCCTGCAAGGAGTAATCCCATGGAGTCACTTCTTTTTCCTTTCTTCAACTCATGAAAGGAAAAGTATTTGTAATTTTGGATTTTCTCCTTCTGTTACAGATCCTGATGAGAAAGAAGAGCCATCAGAAACAGGTGAGAGAAGCCATAGCAGGTGATAACAGAACCCCCCAGGATTTTTTTCAGTAGTTTAAATTCACACAGAACTTGTCACTGTGTTTCATCAATAATGTCATTTTCAGATTCCCATGAGCAGCTGATACCACCAAAGTTCCTGGAAAGATTTACTAACAAAAAGGTGAAAAAAGGTGCAAGCATCACATTATCTGTGAAAGTTGAAGGTAAGTGGATAAATACCTTGCCTCTCTGCACAACACTTACATTGCATAACTTCATGATGCATTCTAGACTCTCTCCCAAGTCATTGTAACCTCATCTTCTGTCTCTGAAGTCTGGGACTCTACTCCCAACGTTGTAAGAGAATCATAGAATTACAGAATGGTTTGGGTTGGAAGGGACCTTAAAGATCATCCAGTTCCAACACCCCTGCCATGGGCAGGGACACCTTCCACTAGCCCAGGTTGCTCCAAGCTTCATCCAGCCTGGCCTTGAACACTTCCAGGGATGGGGCATCCACAGCTTTCTTTACAAAAAAGCATCTTACTCATCTTCCACTCCATTTTCCTGTATGTAAAATCAGGGATAATAACACTTATTAGTCTTATGAAGATGTGTTGATTAACAGTTTTGGTTTTACAAAATTATTTAATATCCTTACGTGTGCGCTGTAGAAAGGTTTATGTTATATATATTGCCTGTTATTGTTGGAAAAGTGTCGTGAAACAAACCAAAATAGCGTTTATTCAAAGCATGGCTCATAATTGCAAGTCAGGAACACCATTAAGAAAGTGAAAACTCACTGCATTGGTTTTCCTTTAGGACACCCACCACCAACCATCACTTGGCTGAAAGAAGAGTCTCAGGAAGATATCCTTTGGATCAAACCAGACACTCCTGGGTATAAACTTGCCAGTTCAAATATGCACCACAGTCTAATTCTCTTGGATGTGAAAAAGAAGTACAGTGGAGCTTACACGTGCATTGCTACCAACAAGGCTGGCCAGTCCATCTGCACCGCCACCCTGGAAGTTGCTGATGGTAAATCTTCCTTCCAACACCAACGCATTCTCTGGGAATTTTCTTGCCTTGCACATGATGACACTCTTTACTTCTATAAAGTTTTAACAGCAGCATCTTGTCTGTACAGAGGACAAGTCTCAGAAACAACCAAATTAAGCACAAAAGAAAAAGAAAGGCAATGTAAAGTAACTGGAAAAAGTCACTTTTAAATAATTTGAAGTGTTTCACTCTGCTAAGGTATTTTGCCCTATATAATTGCCTTAAGGCAGCTAGAGTTACTTGATTCCCATTTTGCAGAGCTTTCCAGGGCCTGTCCTGGCCAAATTCCTTCACTAAGACATGAGACAAACATATACAGGCTGGGAGTAGGGACAGCACTGTGAAGGGCTCAATTTTTCGGTTATCTTTCATTGCATCCCACATTTTTACTGTAGCAAGAGCTACAGGAGCATAGCTTGAGCAGTCTAGAGAAATGGGGCAGTCATACATCAGTGTAAACAGGGAGAGGAGGAAACTATTTGCATCATATGAGTGGGAGTATGTATCCCACGTCAGGAGCTGCTAAGGGGGCAGATTCAGTATTCCAGTGTTCCCAGTAATCCATGTCTAGAAAATGTGCCACATTACATAAAAAGAACATTCTCTGCCTTCTATCCTCTAATGATAAACCCTAATCTTGCAGTGAAAGAGGCTGAAGTTCTGACCCAAGAGCGCGTGATGGTGTCAGAAGCCATCATGACCACACTGGGGTAAGTGGTTGACCACCCATGCTGAAGGGGAGCACTGCAGGTACCACCCTGGAGAAGTTCCCAGGAGACACTTTGAGGCTGTATTCCCTTTGGACATCTTATATTCATCTCTCAGCACCAGTGTTAAAATAGCTTGAGGATGTAAAGGGCTATAAATACTGTAGTATCAATCTCAGCCATTTATGCTTCTCAGGGAGGATAGGAACGAGGACATAAAAAAAAGAGGGTAGGTCATATAAAACTCTCACCATTTTTCCAACTCCTAAGCAGAATGCCGAAAATAATCACAGGGTCAAGGTCTGACGGTTACTTGCCAACACTGAACTACGCTGGTGCTTTAAGGAAAAGGGGTAGATGAAAAGGTCCCGCTCACAAACCTCTGGTTTACAAATGCATTGAGGAATAACCTCCTCAATTCACCATTCTTGGCTTGGATACTGGGCAGATACAGTCTGAAAAGTGGCATCCACCTGAACAAACATTAGCATCTAGAGTACATTTAGCCGAAAAGGCTTGGCCAGTCTCCCTCTGAAGAGTAAGAAAATGAAGAGATCTGCAGTGTGAATTGAGATGTGCCACCACAACCTCTCCCAGGGTTGTACCGAGGCTCTCCTAGGCATACTTAGGGATATACAGTTTTGTAAGAAAGTGAAGAGATCAGCAGTGTGAATTCAGATATGCCGTCACAACCTATCCCAGGGTTGTACCGAGGCTCTCTTAGGCATACTTAGGGATATACAGTTTGTCATACATCAAGTGGAATGAGCTTCCTCCAGCTTCCTGTGTACTAACAGAGAATTAGGGCAGATCAGCTTGACCAGCTGTGGCGCCCTCAATATCAGAAGGATATTGACCAGTTGGAGCGAGTCCAGAGGAGGCCACGAAGATGATCAGAGGGCTGGAGCACCTCTGCTATGATAAAAGGCTGCAAGAATTGGGCTTGGTCAGCCTGGAGAAGAGGAGGCTCCGAGGAGACCTCATTGCAGCTTTCCAGTATCTGAAGGGGACCTACAAGGAAGCTGGGGGGGACTTTTTACAAGGGCCTGTAGTGACAGGACAAGGGATAATGGGTATAAATTGAAAGCGAGGAGGTTTAGATTAGATATCAGGAAGAAGTTCTTCATGGAGAGGGTGGTGAGGCACTGGGACAGGTTGCCCAGAGAAGCTGTAGATGCCCCATCCCTGGAAGTGTTCAAGGCCAGGCTGGATGTGGCTTTGAGCAACCTGGTCTAGTGGAAGGTGTCCCTGCCCATGGCAGGGGGGGTGGAACTAGATGATCTTTAAGGGCCCTTCCAACCCAAACCATTCTATGATTCTATGATTTATATCCTGCCTCCATAAAGCACAGGAATAGCAGAGATGTTGACTGCAGGATATTAGTTTTTTGACAGACCTGTATTCTTGGGAAACACCACAAACACTCTTCATCAGAAGGAGGCAAATGATGGTAGTTGTTCACGTCTGTGAAGCCATTTTCCCTCAGGGTTAACAATATAAAGGTTAACAATAACTTTTTTTGCTGCCACGAATGCATTTGGTGCTGGTAAAAGCTGTCAGTGTAGCAGGTCTTTGGACCTCAGAGCCACTGTAGTACCAAGTCAGCTTGCTTCCCCAACACATGGGCATCCTGATGTGATGAGAGCAGATCCTTTGGCAGGACCACAGCTTCTGCATATTCTCCAGTCCTTGGTTTCCTGATGAAACCATGGGAAATTGTTGAGCATTTATTCACTGAAAACAGATTGAGACCACAGCTCCCACTTGACATAATGCCTCCAACTGTAATAGTTTTATTTCAGTGTCAGCTGGAGTAAAGTCCGAGTAGTACCAGGGAGATGGAGGCTGCGCTGTTCTGCAACCCACTACCTGAGCAGCCAACTCTCCACAAGAAACAACATTCCTGACATAAAGGTCAGGAATAAGGACAATTCTCAGATGGTATTTGTCTCAAAGGCTAAGACACCCAAATGTTTCTGTGCCCACATGAGCCAGGTGCCCTGATTCTCATTTCTTAGAGTGGCCCTGGTGAGTATCAGCCACCAATGCCTGCAGTCCAAACTGGAGTCCTAATTTAAATATTCCCAGGCTTCATGAGCAAGGTGTGAGGAGTAGGGGGTGTTTCTCATTTAGCACTCTTTACTACATATCTTAAAACTGCTCTACTCTTTCTTTTTCAGAACCTTTCATCCTTCTGAAACAAGGGAAGGTAAGAGAAGCTATTTTTTCTCTCCTACTCCTGCCCTTCACATCTACAGCTGAGGTTGTCTATGTAATTCATGATTACCACCTACTTTTGTCTTGTTTTACTGAAACTGCCTGAAATGTTGGAACTTTTCAGGACTAGTCTGTGTTCAAGGGTGAATTATTTGAGTGAAATGTGAGCAAATAGAGTTTTAAAAATGGGGGAAGTGAAAAAAATTAGACCTTCCTTCCACAGAAGCTTTTGTTACTCAAAAAATATGACTTTCAAATGACATTGCCTGCTTAATAGCAAATTCTCTCTTTTGCAGGAGACCTCGAAGTTGGTAGAGAAGGTGTACCCAAAAGCCCTATTTCATTAGCTGATGTTGGCTCAGAAGAGTTCTTCCAGAAACTCACCTCACGTATCTCAGAAATGGTATCTGCAAAAATAAGTCAGGGTAAGTAGCCTGGTAAACACAACTTGATTAGTGTAGAAAAATAAGCAATCGGGGTTTGTTTTTTTTTTATTTTAGGTATCATTTGGACTTTAAATATCAGTGAGATTTATGAGGTGGGTTTTGAGTCAGTCATCCTACATAAGCATATCAACATCTGTAAATGTTTAGGACTAAGAATTTGTAGTAAGAGTCCATCCAAACTGCATGTCTACAGTTTCAACCTAGGAAAAAAGCTATTACAGTAAATTAAGATGGCTAATGTCCATTTTATGCATACAGTGTTTATTTAAATCAATAGGAGCAACTGTAAGCTTTACGGTATAGGGCCACTTGTAAAAATGGAAGTGTATTTTGAACATCTTAGGTGTTTCAAGTTCCTCAGATATTCATCACTCCGAAGCAGTCCTGTTTTGAAGACTTCCCACATCTTCAAGTTTTTTGCCCACAATGGGATTTAAAATCAGGTTGTGGCTGAAAGCCGTGTGTACAGCTGTGAAGTAATCCAGTGATTTGGTGAATTAAATTAAAAATCCGGGTTTGTGTAAAATCTTATTTTGAAGTGTAAACCAAGGCATTACTTCTCCTACAGATACTCTTGCAGTGGCAATACATGCAGTAGGCATGCAACTTCACGTATTGAAACATCCCAATTATTTATTTAGTCCTAAATATCAATAGGAGATCACACTAAATACTACAGATTATCTTCCTAGGGAATATTTGTTTTTATGAAATGGACAGTTATTATGGATTTTGTTCATGTTCACATTGGCTATCTTTATTTCACATTTTGCTGTTGCTCTGCTTTTTAGCTACACTTCGAGTGCCAGGTGCAGAAAGCGATGATGAATCCAAAACTCCCTCTGCATCTCCTCGCCATGGACGATCCAGACCTTCATCCATTGCTCAGGAGTCCTCCTCTGAATCTGAAGATGGGGATTCCAGAGGAGAGGTATGAAATCTTTATGGACAAGTTTGGCACAAAGAGAAAACTTTACTCAGAATAACCAAACTCCTATGGTTTAAGGATCTCCATTCCCTTTAGAGATGTACTTCCCTTTAGTAGGTATATTTAGTAGGTAAAGATTGGCCTGTGATACAGAGCACAGAGAATGAAATTCTGATCCTCACTGTGGGATCTTGAACAAGTAGTTCAAGTCAACATGGTCAAAACTTACCCATTATTTGGCATCTTTTGCTTTCGTGGCTGAGTTTCCGGAAGTCAGAGTTTTATTTTCTGTGGCCTTGGATAGAGTGGATCAGAAGAACGTTGTTGAAAAGTTCTTAATTAGAAAAATGAGAATTTTGTGAAAATTAGAAATGTTTTGGGTGTACGTTTCAAACACTTCCAAAAAAAATCAAATCTTTGGAAATGTTAACCTATTTTGACAATTTCAGGCCCATCTTTGTTTTGCTTGGTGAGAAAATTCCACTGTTTCACGGTGTATATCCAAAACACCTGAGATGATAGTTTTGAAAAAAAGGCTTGAGCCTCCTAGAGACTTAGTCTTCCACTTGCCAAAAGCAAGCGGTGATTCTCTTCGCTGGACAAGGCTGGAGAATAAAACATTAAGCACTTATGTTCTGCTGCTGTTACCATATTCTGTTTCCAGAGCACAGATTAACTGTCGTTTCGTACCTGCAGATCTTTGACGTCTACATGGTCACAGCTGACTACGTGCCCGCTGCGCCCGACCGAGAGACCATCACTTTGAAGGAAGGCCAATACGTGGAAGTCCTTGATTCAGCTCATCCTCTGAAATGGCTGGTCAGGACGAAACCCACAAAATCTAGCCCCTCTCGACAGGGCTGGGTCTCTCCAGCTTATCTGGACAAGAAATTAAAGGTGACTGATGAAGCTGTGGTTATTTTTCCTGTAAAATTACTCGCTCCTGTTGCGGTTTAAGAGCCGTCCCTTTGGCGGGAGCGATGGATGAGGGTGGTGTTGAAGGGGTCTGTAACATGACTGGACTTTTTCATCCACCAGCAAAAAAGAGATTTCACACTGGTTTAGGAGTGGTTGAAAGAGACTGAGAACTAATGAGGGATATTCCTCAGTATGCATTGATAAAAGTACTCTTAACTTACAAGAACCATGTTTCTTTTTTCTTGTATTTCAGTTGTCACCAGAATGGGGAACAGCAGAAGCTCCTGAGTTCCCTGGAGAGTTTGTTTCTGAAGACGAATATAAAAGGAAGTTAAGGTGAGCTCCTGTCATTTGGTATTTCCACCTTTGAGCTTCCCTGCCTTTTGAACGAACATGAATGTTGGCACCTAGGTCCCTCCTGTCAGAGTCACTGGTTTTGTTCTGCTGAGTCCTGCCACCTCCCCTTTCCCGGAATCAAGCAAACCTTTGATTCTCTCAGACTTTGTGATCTTTGACTGGGTTTTGCCAGTTGGTTTCAGCCTAGGAAAATTCCAGGCAATCTAGATTGTATTGGATGACTTGAAAGGAAGATTTTACATGCTGTAATTCTGGAAGCTCTCTGGTTTCAGAAAATCCTAAGCTGCAGTACCTCTGTACGTTGGGGTACCCGATATCTGAGGATGATGTCTAAAGAGGGGGTGAATGCACTCAGCCTTGTGTTACTCCCTTGCAGTGCGGCACACTACTGAGTGTGCTCTCATGGAGAAACTTGCTTTCTGGATTGCATAAAGTGGCACTGAAGTTGCTATTGTCCACTTTACACAGGTCCTCTTGTGCTCCTGCTCTGTTTTATCTGCCCTAACAGTAGATGTCTGTAAGGTAGAGGGAAGTGTCACTCCATGAGCAGGGTGTCTAAGTTCCTCTTATGGTCAGAGGGCATCTAGTCAACACGCTCCAGGGAATTTGTTCCTCTGACCATATCTCTCTACTTTAGAGCCCAAAAGTCTCTCAGCATGTCAAGGATAATTGTGATGACTTTTCTGTGATTTCTTTTTGCCTATTTGTCTTCCCTTCAGTGTTCTTATTCAAGAGCTGTTGATCTCAGAAGAGGATTACATTCAAGATCTACAGTTCCTCCAGACTCATCACCTTAAGTACACTGAGACCTGTTCCAATGTCCCAGGAGCTGTCGTCAGTCAGAAATCCACCCTCTTCCGAAATATTGATGACATTGCTCGCTTCCACTCCAGGTGGGCATTCCCACGTGCCTTCAACGGAGACCGGAGTGGCTCACGTACCTGGTGTCAGAGCCACGGTAACTGTTGTTACTGTGCAGGATGGGGAGCACTGGCAGTGCTGAGGTGCAAGGGAATTGATGGTCCTTTTGGGATGATAGATGATGGCATAGCTTAAGTCAAAGCACAGGGTTGGGACTCCCACAATACCCTTCAGTGCTTCAAGGCTTCACATGTCCAGCTTACTGCTTTCCCTTTTAAGCAAATTTATTTGAGAAACAGAATTATTATAAAAAGGCAGCATGACCTTGCAGGCACTTCAGTGGTGTCTTCACAGACACACACATTCATCTAAAACCGATGCCAGCGTCTATGCACTCAGAACACATCCAGCTGTAGCAGCTGCTGTGGCACAATGCCTCTGCCCACTCCAAGAAAGGATTTACTGCCGATCTGCTGTTCCCAAAGTGACTTCCCAAGGTCCAGGCTGAAATACTTTACTTGCCTGGGAGGGGAGGTGTTGTACAATGTCCCGCGTGCCTTAGGTTTTCCATTGCTAAGGGGCTTCCTTTGAACCTTGATATCCTCATGGGAAATGATTGTTCTCGTGGCAAGTCCCTGCCAGCACAGTGAGAATCACCCTCTCTTCCTAGTTTTCCTACCCTGTGATCCTAACTTCTGTTTTACTTTGGGGAGTGTGTGGATAATATGCATGCACACAGCTCAACAAACAGCCGGTGTGTGGCATCTTCTCCGATGTACGTGTGCTTCCGTCAGTGCTCGCAGCATCCTAAGCAGGAGCAACCAGCACGGAGTTTGAGCAGGTTGCGATGAAAAGTATAGTTACTCTGGGAAAAGGGTTTGGGGGGCACCCCTTCTGCAACGGGGAGCATGCTTACGGCGGCATCTCCGATGTACGTGTGCTTCCGTCAGTGCTCGCAGCATCCTAAGCAGGAGCAACCAGCACGGAGTTTGAGCAGGTTGCGATGAAAAGTATAGTTACTCTGGGAAAAGGGTTTGGAGGGCACCCCTTCTGCAACGGGGAGCGTGCTTATGTGGGAAAACCAGCATTTTTCCTGGCTACACGATGAGACTAGATTTCCCTTCTCTTTCCTTCCTCTCTCTCTTCTCCCTCCCTCTCCTTTCGTTCTTCCCCAAAAGTAACTTCAGCCGCGAGAGGTGATGCTTGTCATCGGCTCTTGACACTGTTAGAAATCTTTGTGCCTGTGAAACCACCTCGACATCCTTTGTGAAGCAGAGAGAGGATCTCTGCCTTCACTTACACGTGTGGCTCATTGATCCTTAAACCGACGCATAAGGATCTGGGGAGGGGTTCAGCTCCCAACTTGAGCTAAACCCTTGGAAGTTATCCCTACCTTCCTTGCAGGGCATTTCATACATTCCAGCTAAGAGGGACAGTGTCATGCTGGATGAAGAATTGAGAGCACTGAGAAGTTGAGTGCTCACATGGCAGCATCCCTTCTTTTCCCCAGGCATTTCCTTCAATCTGTGTTATCCTGAAATTGCCTGATTTAAAAGTCTGTCTGCTGGGGTTGTGTTCCAGCCTCATTCCATCACCTTCTCCTCAGATGTCCTTTTCCCTTTGCCTCCGCAGTGTCTTCCTCGGAAGCTTGCAGCAGTGTGACACAGATGATGACGTGGCCATGTGCTTTATCAAGCACGAAGCAGAGTTTAATAAGTACATCCAGTACCTGGTGGGGAGGGTACAGGCTGAGTCAGTTGTTGTCAGCAAAGCTATCCAGGATTTCTACAAGGTAAAACAGTAGCCAAAGTACCTGCTGAGCATGCATCCTGTAACCCACTGTGTCAACTACTTATTCACAAATGTGATCCTGAAAAGGATTATTAAATATTGTTGTGGGAAATCATTGTAAATATAATATTTTTGTATTCTCTGCCTAGCTCTTCCTGGTCAATCAATATGGGAGCATATTTCCATATCTTATGCATTTGTGGATATTATAAAGATATGAATGTAGTTGTGATTACGTAACTGATTAAGGGATGTTTTAAGGGTCACCACGTTATAAGACCAAGTGAAGTCACATAAAAGATTAATATAGATAGGGAAATACTATTTCTCCTCTCCAGCTGCTCAAGACTGAATTTCACTAGTGAAAACACACACACAACACTCCAGATCCATGAGAACATTCATGTTCACGGATCCTTTGAGTATCTGCACGGCTCCTCTGTCCATCCAATACCCCTACCCAGAGCCTGAGCGCTTGTTACCCTTTCCACGAGCCTCCTACTCGCCATCTAGTCCAGCTTGATGCTCGCTAGAAAACCAATGCACATGTTCACACTCACCCCACGTTCACAGATCCTTCAAATTATCAGCACAAGCTCTCAGTCTCCCTAATATCCATGCCTGGATCCTGGATCCCCTCCTTGCATCTAGTCCAGCTTGAAGTTTGCTGGTGAATTGCACATGTTTGCACCCACATGCACCAGGTCGGTTGGAAAGATAAACATCCAGCTCCATGGCTAAAGGGATGGGGGAGGGTTACAGATGTCCAAAATCTGGGGTAGTAAGGCCTGTTAGAACTATCCTGTTTGGCTGCGTTAGATCTATGAACATTTTACATCATGATCATATGAGCATTTTACAGGGAGTAATCTTTTAAAATGCTCTTTATAACAACCTTTCCTCATTCTTATATATATTTTTTCAGAGATACACAGATGAAATTTTAACTAATGAAGATCCTTCACAGCCACTTATCCCACCACTGCAGCACTACCTGGAAAAACCCATAAACAGGATCCAGCAGTACCAGACTATAATCAAGGTGAAAAGCTTTTGTTAAATCCTTATGTCTGATAGGTTTATGCTCAGCTTTGTGCAGCTTGTGCAGCAAAATTTTTATTTCATATGTCTTGGCTTTCTTCTGCTGCAACTACAGTGCAAAGCTGTGTAAGCAATAAAGACCGTAACTATCACCAGTGATGGTGCTCTTCAAATAGATTTTTAGATGTAAATCCAGGTAGAGGTTCAGAGTCTCCAACCCCATAAATTACAGCAAGCTTTATCTCAATGGTCTTTAAATATATGCCTATTAAATATATTAAAAAGATATGCTTTTATGCATAGAAATGAATGTGTGTATGTACCTTCATATTAGATATCAGGAAGAAATTCTTCATGGAGAGGGTGGTGAGGCACTGGGACAGGTTGCCCAGAGAAGCTGTGGATGCCCCATCCCTGGAAGTGTTCAAGGCCAGGCTGGATGAGGCTTTGAGCAACCTGGTCTAGTGGAAGGTGTCCCTGCCCATGGCAGGGGGGTTGGAACTGGACGATCTTTAAGGTCCCTTCCAACCCAAACCATTCTGTGATTCTATGTATTGACATGTATGAATTTATTTCACACTAAGCAAAAGTTATGTTATAAAAATAGGCAATTTCCAATGCGTAAAAAATGAAATTACCAGTTTCTCTCCTTGTGTTTTATACTGACACTATAGTAAGATGAATTTTTTGTTTTCTGAAAAGCTTTGCTTCGTTCTACTATCCTGAAATGTTTCATTTTTGAAGTTTTCCTCTGTCCTACTATCTCAGGTTCTAGCCCAGACCACAGATGAAAGTTTTAAAGTAGCATTTTACAATGGTATTTTTCATGGGAAGTAGCAGTAGGCTAGTCAGGAAGACGACTGCCAAAATCTTTCTGTATTGTAGTGTTACTGAAGTGAGCAGTTTGAATAGTTTTGGAAGGTTCAAATTAACTTTCTGATTTTGAACGCCTGCCTCCACACAAACACCAACATTTTAAAGGGTCTCTTGGGAGAGAGAGTGATCATGCCTTCATTGCTAAAAGAGAGGAACAGGAGCAAATATGGAAGGAAAGGAAAACTGCCATTTCATATTTTTTCCATCTTCTGTTTTTAATCTAATAGCGACTCTTAGTTTAGCACTGTCACGTGAATTGCTTGCCTGATGGTGTCGTCAGGTAAGCACAAGAGAAATGCCATGGGTACGTTTAGGATTGGTTTGGGGTTTCTTTGGCTTTCAGTCACTGAAGCATATCTGGTGTTTACTTCAACTTTGTTTAATATCTGGTGATGTAAGGAAAATCCCGACCGGCTAGTCAGTGAGGTTGTGCAGAATGGGTGGGAAAGAGGAGACTTTGTTAGTTAAGCAGCACGTGGTGAAAGAATGGGATAAAAGTTGCTCAGATGAAAGAGCTGGAACAGATATTGAGAAACTCTTTGGCTACCAAGGAAATGATTTTTTTTTTTTTCCCCTGACTGCCCAGTAACATTTTCTTCATTCATCTACAGGAATTAATCCGAAACAAAGCAAGAAATAGTCAAAACTGCACTTTGCTGGAGCAGGCTTATGCCATCGTGTCTGCGCTCACCCGAAGGGCAGAAAACAACCTCCATGTCTCACTCATAGAGAATTATCCAGGGACCCTGGAAAGCCTGGGTGAACCCATCCGACAGGTAACTGGAATTTCCCAGTCAGTCAGTGCTATGCACACCTTCACTAGTTTCTAAGTAGCCTTAGGCCCTACAAGAAGCTCCTTTAGAAGTGATACCTGAAAGAGAGTATCTGCTTACTCCCTTTCTTAATGCTCAGAGAGATGGGTCTCCTGGCTTGATTAAGGTTTGCAGCACCAGAGCGTTGGTGCTTATGGAGCAACTCCCACACAGTGCAGTTATTTGCCTTTCCAACCCGCTCATCAAATAGGGAGACATTTGTTCTGGGTCCCCAGATGATTTCAAAACACGTTATTTTTTTCTCTCTCTCTTGTTATCGGCAAGCTACACGGGCCAACTCTTGAAATTACTGGCATCAGTGAGCTTTCCTGATTATTCCTCAAGTGTTAGAAGTTCACTGGGCCTTTCCAATTGACACCATTCATAAGAAAAACCTGGTTTGCTGGGGTGTCGGTACAAGGTGGCATTGTACACGTTCCATATGCTCCATGTGAGAACTTTAAATCAATTTATGGATGTTGTCCCACAGCTGTTCATATATCTTCAAAAGAACTGTGTGCTTCTCCAGGTCTCTTTCATGAAACAGGGGAGCACAAAGGAAAGGAAAATCTCTGCAGTTTTATGCAGAGATGCATAAAGTGATGATGTAGCAGTAAACATTCGTTAACTGTTCACTGTAACATGGTAGTGAGGCATCACTGTGGTAATTATTCCAGTTTTCACCTTGTGCTCTTCCTTCTTTTTTCTATCAGGGCCACTTCATTGTATGGGAAGGAGCTCCAGGAGCTCGAATGGCATGGAAAGGACACAAAAGACATGTCTTCCTCTTCAAAAATTATATTGTGATCTGCAAACCGAAGCGAGACACAAAGACAGACACCTACAGTTACATCTTCAGGAACATCATGAAGGTCTGATTATTATACCCTCACCTAGAGCATTCCTCTGTTGCTGAGGACTTCATGTTTACATCCAGCTTCTGGTTATCTACATGGACCATTTCACTCATCCTTTTGGGCTGTTCCTTTGTTTCTGAAAGTCTTTGAAGCACAAGTAGAATCTATGTCTATCCCAAAATCTTTCTGTTAAACCTGTCAGAAACATGCCAGAACCCATCAGACTCAAGGCTGGGTTTTACCGTGCAGCAATGAGATCACATGTACAAATATTTATTCATCTCTCTTACCTTGTTGAGATAACTGCGTAAGTGCATGATACTGATGTGAATTTTGCTGTCTGAAAAAATTGCTAGCATTTGTAGACCTTTGTTATTGGCAGTCTGTGATGTTGGCAGTAAATTGGAGGAAAGGCTGTTTAGTCGTAGACTACATTCCCAGTGGTTCTCTCTGCTGGTTATGCCCTTTTTGGACACTAATTCCTGGTTTAGAAATGAAAAATTCAAAAGATTTTACTAGTTAGTATTCAGACATTCAGGGCTCGGGTTAAAACTAAAAGAAACTGCAGGAAAAGTTTTCTCAAGGCAGTAGATGCTCAACTCCACTAAAGACTAACCAACCATGGTTAGTTAAAAAAGTTATTTAGGATAAAACCCATGGTGTTCTTGACAAGCCCAGTCAGGGCCATCTGTTAGTCTTTATCTCTGACCTCATTGATATTCATAGGCAGAATTTATTTTCCAAGGGAAAAAAAAAAAAAGGATGCTTTGTCCAGAGTGCCTGTAGTCCCTAATTGTGCTGTTCCTGGGTCCAACAGCTCTGCACTGTAGGGGCGGAGTACCCCGCCCTTGGGATACCCTTTAATGCTGGATGTTGTTTTCCTGAAATGTGATAATTAGCCCCAGGAATTACGTCTGTTTGTTATCCAGAAAGACAGGTATATTGGGAAAGGATTGCAAAGGGACCCTTACTGCTGTTCAGCCAAAGCCATGTTGCATTGCTTATGCAATCTGAAAAATCCTTAAAAGCAGCTTAAGTTATCCCTTCTGCTGTTGGAGCATCTCATATGGCTTTATTGGGAGTGGCATCCCTCGTGTCCACGGAAGAGGGCACACTCCGGCAGCAGGGGTCCTGCTGGTGTTTAATAGTTGTTTCCTTTTCAAACCTTGATTGAAGATGGTTCTGGTCCACAGAAGCTAGGTCCAGATCAGAACTGTCCTAAACTCCAGGATTTCAGTTGTGGGAAAGTTTCTGCCTGAAACTCATCCCTAAGGACACAGGATGTGTGTTGACTTCCTTGTCCTTCTGCCACGCAGCTGAACAACATCGATGTGAACGACCTTGTGGAAGGAGATGACCGGGCGTTCGAGATCTGGCACGAACGGGAAGACTTGGTGCGCAAGTACCTCCTTCAGGCACGCACAGTGAACATCAAGAACTCCTGGGTGAAGGAGATCTGTGGCATACAGCAGCGGATCAGTGAGCCCATCTGGAGTGAGTATGGCCCGAGTGAGCCCAACCCTCACGGTTTTTTCTTGGATGGTCTTCCTGATTCAAGAAGGAGATTAGCAAAAGAGTGAGAGAAACCATTTAGGTTATCTGCCACCTCTTAAATTGAACTAAGGTTGGAGGTTTTCCTTTAATCACATCACAGACTGCTGTAAATAACAACTCGCTCGACTTGACAGCGCTCAGGATGGGACAGCGGTGTTTACCCCACTTACCAAGAGAACCCCTTACCATTTACCCCACTTCCCGTCAAGAGAACCCATCTCTTGATTTTTACCATTGAGAGATTCCTATTTACCATCAAGAGAGCCGAGACTGTATATCGCTCAAGTGATTAAATCTACACAACAGAGGTCTCATGGGACCTGTATAGATTTTGAGGGAATACCAGAGCAGATGAGTAACTTTCTTACTACTCTTCAGTGTCCATAACCCAAGTATGGAAACACAGGCTGATGAGCTGAGAATATCTGGCTATCCCTGGCTGTTTCCATGGTGTGGATTGCCTTTGGAGGATCAGAGTCAGAAGCTGAAGTGGTGGCTCATCTCCCTGTCTTCATATTCATGTTTTTGTCAATAAGCAGAGGATGTTGTTTTCCAGTAAAATAGCCAAGAAAATGTGTGTCACTCAAGAAGAGAAACACGTCGTTGAAAATCCTAAAATGCAAATTGCAGTGTTAACGCTAGAGATGTGTTTGATCTGGCAGGGATGGCAGAAGGGCAGATAACCACAGAATTTGGTGGCAAAGGCCCTGGCCCACTGCATGAAGAGCATTAGGCAATGAGAAAAGCAGTTTCAGAACCTGACACAGAGTCCTACTGCTGCCAGTATGAAGCCCTTCTGTGACTTTGTTGGGTACCAGATCCTCCACTCCAGACTTAGGGCTTATATTTTATTAGTGCATCTGGGCCACACAGGTTTGCTTTGGATTTTCATCTTGTCAGTCAGGCTGCTCCATCCTTAGGGTCATTTTCTATGCACAAAGTTTATCAGCAGGGATGTTAGATCTTTACTGACCAGGTATAAGCTACAAATGGTGTCCTTTGCAGCATAAGGAAATTTGACATCTTAAAATGCCAGAACAGAACTAGATTTAGTGTATATATGCTGAAAAGAAGTCTGGCCATTTTATTTTTGTGTTTTTAGTGAGGTGTTCTAGTGAGGAAGACTATCAGAATAATTTTGCATAGTTTCATATGGTAGTAATAAGTTAAAACAAAAGTCCCTTAACAAAGCATAGATTTTATTGTATAGAGAGCAGCAGATTGCCAGTTTGGGTATTAGGGGTGCATTCTAATTGGGGAGTTATCTTAAATGATACACCTGTGCTGTTGGAATAATGGATGTGCTTATTAAAATTATGACCTAAAATGCTTCCACACGTCCCATTTTTTT